AGTATTGCTTGTTTATTAAATGGATATAGCTGCTTGGTATTTGAACATTAGAAAGTCAAAGGTTGATTTAAATTGATAAATTTATTTAATTGTAAATTATTCCAAAAGATTATTTTCTGATATTCATGCCAAGTCATATTTAATTCAAGTGTAAAATTTAAAAATTTTCTACAACATGTTTTGTATTTTATTACAATATTATCTAAAGCAATTTTATTATTATTCTGTAATATGTACATTCAATTTTCATATACTATGTAAGAATATTTAATAACTTATTAATAAAAGTATTGTACATGACAAGTTAAACGGTTGTGTATTTTTATTCTATTTACATGACATGTATATTCAAAACATTTTTTAAATTTAATTTTAATAATATTGCACTATAAAAATGTAGTCAGTGTACATGTACAGTGACTGGTTGTACCCAAAAAGAAAATAATGTGCACCACTTTGCAAAACTATGGCATGTAACATTTAACACAATATACTGACATATAATAATAATTAAACTTATTTCTATGCACTAATAATAGGATCATGGAAATTGCACAATAATGCACATACTGTCCATATTTGGTTCACACTATCAAACATACACAATGGAAACAATCTATCCCAAATATGAAATTTTTTAACTTTATTTATGGCCCTTTCTACATGAATTCTCTCTGATGCAATTTCTTGAGTTTCAGTGACCTCATCTGCCTCTAGTTGCCCCTTCTTTTCTAGAAATGGTGGAATATTGAGTGAGACCCCCTTCTCAGCAAGTAAATCAGATATTGTAAACCCCTTATCTGCCATCACAGAGTCACCAACATCAAATAACAAGCCGGTAGGCTGGTTGGCGATCCGCTCCGCTCAAAAACAAGCAACATGTTTTTTGGCTGTTTCCATGGTGACATAAACGTGAAGCTGACGTCGGTTTATAACTAATACGAAGTTCGCAAACACCATTCAGTCTTTAGAAGTCACTTAGTTTAGTACTAGGACCACAGTTACTCTCTCCTAGTAGAGTGACTGTGCTAGGACGTATTCTGCTGTTACATTTATTATTTCCAACCGTTTTGCGATAGCATTTTTTAGAATGAAGCGTTTCCCGGAAATGCTGGAAAGCGAAATAATGAAATAACGAAATGGTAAATATTTACCTAAATTGCAGTGTGTTGACCTTCATAACAATATACTTCATAATGCAAAACACTAGTCACAGTGAGTAATTTAAATATACGACTCCTAATCAAAAAATATGACCACAGTCCAGAATTTCAGACGGATATTAAGCAACCTAAGAGCATATCAGAAGCATTTACTCTAAAATATAAAAAAAGAACTGCAGTCAAAAGTCAAGAATGCCAGCAAATAAAGGACTCTGTCCCACAATCCTTTGTGCGTGTTATTACGGACACGCGCAAAAAACTGTACCACGCTTGTCAAATCTGGGTCAAATATACAGTACGCTACTATCTTGCCACAGATTGTTTAGTAGTGGAGTGTTCGGTGACCATTGAATTAGCCCGTGATTCATATTTTATGTGTATTAATTTATTCATCAATTTTCTATTTTTACGCGTTAAATTTGGTTCTTCCCTTTCGCCCCTCCGGAATGTTCTACTTTTGCAGCCTAATAGCAGGTTTTTCGAAAAACGTCTAAAAAACACAAGAATTAGTAGAAATGTTCCTGTTTTGGGAGGATTATTGATAGAGAATAATGTCTTTATTACAAAAATGCTGAAAAACCGTGAGTTGTTGCCTTAGTTATTTTTTTATTGGCGAAAAACTGCGAACTCGGCAAATTTGGTTGCACAACTTCCCTTTATCATATACACCCAGCGACACCGATGCCAG